GCCTCTGCTGGGATTAAAAGTGTGCCACCAACCCTGAGGCCAGTTGTTTTTTGAGATGGGGTCTCAGGCTGGTCTCTAACTCACTGTGTAGAAGATGACCTTGAACTTCTGACCCTCCCTCCACCTCCCAGGCCGGGATTAGGCTGGTACCACTGGCCTGGGTTATGAGGTGTGAGGATTGAATCTAGGACTTTGTGAGTACTACGCAAGCATTCTGCCAAACAAACTACACCCCAGTCCCTCCCTACCTGGGTTTTTGTTTGTTTGGTTGGTTGGTTGGTTTGGTTTTAGTTTGTGTTGAGATAGTTAGTCTCACTCTGAACTTGAAGCAATTCTTCTGCCTCTGCCTATGCTGAGATTAAGGGCAAGGGTCACCATGCTTAGCTTCAGTGTAATCTTATGTCCTGACTGACAAGGATGGGAACTGGGGATGTGGTTGGTACTCAGTGAATAATTATCAAATAAATGGGTTCTCTTTTTCCCCCAACACAGGTTTCTCTGTGTATCCCTGGCTGACCCAGAACTCACTCTGTAGACCAGGCTATCTTCAAACTCACAGAAATCCGCCTGCCTGTGGGATTAAAGACGTGTGCCACCACACCCGGCATAAATATGCTCTTATTCCCTTCCTAAAGTCAAGGGTAGTCTGATCTTGAAGCCAAGCCAGTTCTGAAAACAGATGTGTCAGTTAGCTTTCTGCACAATAAATAGTTAAAACCTTAGCTGGGCCATGGTAGAGCACGCCTTTAAACTCAACACTCAGGAGGCAGAGGCAGGCAGATCTCTGTGATTTCCAAGCCAGCTTGGTCTGTCTACAAAGCAGGTTCCAGGACAGCCAGGGCTACACAGAGAAACCCTGTCCCAGTCCCCACCCCAAAATCTTAATGGCATCCAGTAAGTACTTACTGCTGACTGGACAGGACTCTCAAGTCATGAGTCTGAGCTGCTGTGAGTCCGGGTTGGCTGATGTCACCTCCTCTGGGCAACCTCCAGTGGGGTCACTGGAATGGCTTGCCATAGATCCAGCAGGATGGTATCTTGGAGTAGGAGACAGCTAGGGATTCGGCTCAGTTTGTGGAGTGTTTACCTAGTATGTAAAAGTCCTGGGTTCAATTCCCTGCACTGCCTAAACCAGGCCTGGAGGGACAAGCCTGTAATCCTTTTTTGTGTGTGCACATGTAATCTGTCTGTGGGTACACACATGCCATAGTACACATGTGGAGGTCAAAGGACAGCCCACGGGGCCATGGTTCTCCCTACCATGTGGAGGGACTGAGCTCAGATCATCTTGGCAGTGGTCACCATTACCCACTAAAGTCATCTCAGCAGTGCAAGGAGAGGTCACATTCGGTGTTAAGAAGTGCAATGTCTTAGATCCTCCTTCTCCTAGGGAAGCACACACAGCAGTCCAGGGTTTGCTAGAGGCTGGTGTGTCTTCCTCCTGAATGTCACCGGCAGCTGCCATTTGCCCACCGCAGAGCTCAGTTCTACCGGCCTGGAAGCCTGCCTCCAGGCGGCAGGTGGTTCAGGACTCTCACCCACCAGGGCTGTGGCCTAGAGGTGGGGATTTACCACGCTGTTCTCCACTGGTCCCTGACACAGGGCTGCCGTGTCATCCTTGGGATAAGTGGCAGCAGCTGGGTTCAGCTAAGCCTGCCCCTCTGGTGTCTGTGGTCCTGGGACGTTGTCAGGCAGAGCCCGGGCCCAGGTGTCAGGTGTCTTCCTCCTCCTGCACCCATCATTGTCCTTTGACAGAGTTCAGCTCTCAGAACACAAAGCCCAGAGCAACTCTTACTTTTGAAACATGCCAAGTATGTGTTTTGGGTGGTTTTTCTTTCTTTGTTATTTTGTTTTGTTTTCTGTTGCTATTTATTATGAGACGGGATCTTACCATGTAGCTCTGGCTGGCTGGGAATTTGCCTTGAACTCTTAGAGACCCATCTGCCTTGCTGCACCACCATAGCCCAGGCCTCTTGCCTGTTGCCGGGCTGCAGAGGTGGCTCAGCAGTTAAGAGCACTTACTGCTCTATCAGAGGATCCACGTTTGGGTCTCAGCCCCACGCCAGGTGGCTCACAATCATCAGTGACTCCAAGCTGCAGGGGACCCCATGCCGCTGGCTCCCTCAGCCACCTGCACTCATGCACGGTCATAGGCAGACGCATACACCTGCACGCAGTTAAAACTAACAAGGATAAACCTCTTGGGACTGGAGAGATGGCTCAGCAAAGAGCACTGACTGCTATTCCAGAGGACCCAGGTTCAATTCCCAACACCTACATGGCAGCTCATGACTTTCTATAACTCCTGTGCCAGGGAATCCAACACCGTCACACAGACATACATGCAGGCAAAACGCCAATGTACGTAACATACAAATAATTACGTCTCTTTTTTTTTTTTTGGTTTTTTTTTTTTTTTTTGAGACAGGGTTTCTCTGTAGCTTTGGAGGCTGTCCTGGAACTCACTTTTGTAGACCAGCCTGGCCTCAAACTCACAGAGATCCGCCTGCCTCTGCCTCCCGAGTGCTGGGATTAAAGGCGTGCGCCACCAATGCCCGGCAATAATTATGTCTCTTAAAGGTGGCTGTTCCTGGGCTGGGGATTTGGATTCATTCCCCAGCACCACACAAAACTGGAATGTGATGACACATGACTGTGATCTCAGACCAGGAGGTGGACAGAGGACCAGACGTTCGCAGTCATTCATAGGGAACTGGGGGCTGGCTAGGATAATGAAATAAACCAAGGCCAGCAAGATGACTCAGCACGTAAAGGCTACTGCAGCCAAGCCTGGTCCCCAGAACTCCTGTGGTGCAGGGAGAGAAATGACCCCTGACACTTGTCCTCTGACCTCCACACTTGCACGGCGCCATGTGTCCACACACGTGAAGTGGAATGTTCTACTCCCTCCCTGGTTGGATGCTGGACTGTGTAAATGGAGACGGGAGCTGGGAAGATTGGTCCCTCTGCTTCCTGACTGTGGACGAGACGTAAACAGTGCTTCAAGACCCTGGGGCACCGAGCTCCCAGCATGCAATGCTACACAATGAGCTGGGAGCCAGACTGTCTTAGGGTTTCTATTGCAGGGAAGAGACACCATGACCACAGCAGCTCTTATAAAGGAAAAGATTCGATGGGATGGCTTGCAGTTCAGAGGTTCAGCCCATTATCATCATGGTGGCTGGCGTTGTGCAGGCAGACATGGTGTTGGATGAACCGAGACACTGGGCATGGCTTGAGCATATGTGAGGACTCAAAGCTCGCCTCCACAGAGACACACTTCCTCCAACAAGGCCACACCTCCTAATAGTGCCACTCTATGAGCTTATATGGGCCACTTACATTCAAATATAACACACACTAAGCCCCGTCCCCCATAAGCTGCTTTTGTCAAAAGTATTTTACCTTAGAAACAGGAAAAGGAACTAAGAGAGCCTGTTTCCTTATTGGAAGATTACCATATATGGGATAGGGGTGAGGTAGGTTAAATTTATCGGGGAGAAATCACTTACATGAAAAACCGATAACCCAGGGTCAGTTCTCTGAGCTTCCAATTGCAACTGCCCTCTGAGATCTGACCAAAACCCCAAGAGAGACCACACCTGCCTCCCTCAGGCCTATATCCCACACGCCCCCCGTATGCACCTGTGGCCACGCCCAAACAGGCGTGCCTAGTAAGATTTCTCCCTACATCGTTTCCCTTTTTTTTTTTTTTTGGCCTTTTGAGATAGAGTTTCTCTGTGTGGCCCTGGCTTTTCTGGAACTCACTCCATAGACCAAGCTGGCCTCAAACTTGGAGATCCACCTGCCTCCTGAGTGCTGGAATTAAAGGCATGGGTCACCACTGCCCAGATCTTGTTACTGCTCTTTGAAAAACATTTTTATTAACACATTTATTTATTTATCACAGGGACATGTTCGTAGAGGTGTAAGTTGGTTCTCTGCCTCCATCCTGTGGGTCCCAGGGACCAATTCAGACTTTTAATACCTTGATGCTCTGTCGTTGCTTTGTATGTATGTTGTGTTGAGACAGGGCCTTACTATGTACCTAAAGCTGACCCTAACTCCCTGTGCAGCCCAGGTTGGCCTCAAACTCTTAGTGATCTCCTAAGCCTCCAAAGAACCTGGTAGTGTCTTGTTTCTTTCTCCCAGATAGGACGGTTAACTCCTTAGACAGAACAGAAACCTCTTGGAGCCACCCAGGTCCACACCGAATACGGGGAAAGCTACATTCTCTCAAGTAGGGCATGTGTGGCAGAGCAGAGGGTGGGGGAGATGGCAGTCAGTAAAGTGCTTGCCAGGCAAACATGAGGACCCGAGTTTGGATCCCCAGCACTCATGTGAAAACACCAGCCATGTACGCATAATCTCTGGGGCGTGCTGCCCGGCCAGTCTAGCTGAAATGGGGAACGAGTTCAGTGAGAGACCCTGTCTCCAAAAATAAGGTGAAGTGCATTAGAGGAGGTTATGGGATGTCAACCTCTGGCTCCACGTGTGTGTGTGTGTGTCTGTGTCTGTCTGTGTGTGTGTGTGTGCATGTGCGCTCACAGACACTGATTCAAATATGTGACCGCCTACAAGCTGAGCTAGCTGGACTAATTAGTGGCTCGTTGTGCCTCCATTTCCCTACATGAAACAAAGGATGATTTTTGTGTACCTGACAGAGTTCTTGAATGCCTCAATTGGATCATGTGTGCCACATGTCAATCAATAATAACTTGCTGTCCATTGATGAGGACAATGGCTGAGTTGCCATCTTTGCCATCTAAAACAGCCGAATATTAGTTTTAGCTAATACATAAGCCCTGGCTCCCCCTGAATGTATTTTTAAAGCCTGTGTTATGTGAAAGCAAATTCTTCCAGCCTCACAGTCAATCTGTGTGGGAATAATCCTGGATTGTAGCGGTGTGTCAACTCAGGCTTGACACGGGACAGCTCCGCTGGTTTCCTGGTTGCCTGTCTTAGGCAGACGTGTGCCAACATCCCCATGTCTGCCACAGGTCACCCTGCTCATTGCCTTCATCTGTGTGCGAAGCTCCCCTCGGATCGACTTCGGCGCCTACAGCTTCTTTGAAGTCGTCACCATCTGCGACCTAATAATGATTCTCATCTTTTACCTGGTCTACCTCTTCCGTTTCTACCGAGTGCTCACCTGCATCAGCTGGCCCCTGTCGGTAAGGAGGGCCTGGCCCCGTCAGCATGCAGGGGTCCGGACACGGGTTGGGACATGGCTGCTTTGACCCTGACTCTTCACTGCTTGGTGGACATGTCTGCTGGCCTCCCAGCGTTAGAAGGCTGGGACTCCTATCTGCTGTGCGTGTGGGGTGGAGGAGGACAAGCCTTGAAGGACGGAGCTGGTGAGGGTGTATACACTGTTGAGAGTTCAGTGGGGACACTTGGTGGCAGAGGCTGAGAAGATAAACCAGAAGGATCTGTTTTGTTTTTGTTTTGTTTTTTAACGAGATAGGGTTTCTCTGTATTGTTTTGGAGGCTATCGGTCCAGCCCAGCCTCGAACTCACTGATATCCGCCTGCCTCTGCCTCCCGAGTGCTGAGATTAAAGCCATGCGCCACCACCACCCAGCCAGAAGGCTCTGTTTTGAAGACAGTGTCTTACTATGTAGGCCGGGCTGGCCTCGAACTCACAGAGATCCTCCTGCCTCTGCCTCCCGAGTTAGAAGTGTGTGCCACCACGCCCAGCAAATATTCTCCATTTTGTGTCTTGGTTTCTACCTGTGCATAAACACGCTCCTTCATCAGTTCTAACAGGGACCTAGTGAATCCCTTAGGACCCACTGTGTGCCAGATCACACCCCCCCACAAATATCGACGGCTCACTTCTGGCTAACGTCGATGCTTGTCATCCGATTGCCTTGCCTTATTGTGAAGAACTATCCAGAGGGGCCGAATGTTGGATAGAAGCTGCAAGAACAGGTGTCACATGTCACGACCTTTCTGTGACCTCTGAAGGGAAGCACTGTGTCTTCCATGTTGACTGTGAGGCTAGGTATGAGTTTTTATAGATACGCATCATCAGACAGAGAACATAATCTGTGAGTGCATGTGTGTGTGTGTGTGTGTGTGTGTGTGTGTGTGTGTGTGTGTCAGAGAGAGAGAGAGACAGACAGACAGACAGACCTTGGTGCTTTTCCCTTTTGATATTTATTATTGTTTTTGCTTGTCTTGTTTTATGCTGGATTAAATCTAGCACAAAGGAAAAGGTCTGCAAATGGGTCTTGGGAACTGGGCAGTCTCAATGACCGGCTCTGGCCATCAGAGACATCTCCTCTCTCTGTGTCTTCTGCTTGCCCAGCATCCTTCTCTCCAGCATGGTGCTTCCTGGCCCAGCTTCTACACTGGCTGCCTGAGAGACTTGCACTTCCTCCCACCTAAGCGTTCCTAGGGACGGAGTGTGAGTGTCCCTGTCCGCTGCGCCATAGTGAGCTCTCCATTCACGCCTTCTCTCTTCTGCCCCGGCCTCCAGGAACTTCTGCACTATTTAATCGGCACCCTGCTTCTACTCATCGCCTCCATCGTGGCGGCCTCCAAGAGTTACAACCAGAGTGGCCTGGTGGCGGGAGCGGTGAGAAACCAATTCAGATTTTAGTCCCCTTCTCCCTGATAGGGTCTGGGGACGGGGTTGATTTGGGGACCTTTCTTCTTAGAACCCACACCTACCTCAATCCAGCCAGCCACTCTCTCCAAAGAGCCTGACACCTGGGCTCTTGTCAGAGGGTCGGAAGGTGGACTTAAGGGCGGCTGACAAACTTAAACAGCTACGGAGCAGCTGGGCCTACTCTTCACAGCCTATCTCTGAGCCTGTCTCCCTTACAGCCACTGCTTACATGGGAACAGAGCAGCTGCAATCCCTCATGGCGGAGTATACGCTCTGCAGAAAAGTGTTGGGCATCTTTTAGAGGGAAGGGTGCTGTGACCAATTAGTGATGACAGCCATGAGTCTTTTGTCTTTTCTTTTGAGTCTCACTAAGTAGCCCAGGCTAGCCTGGAATGCACTGTTTAACCCAGGCTGGCCTAGAATATATTATGTAGTCCAAGCTGGCCTTAGATTTACGGAGATCCTCCTGAGTACTGGGATTGTAAGCATGCCCAGCTCAGATACCTTAAAAATAAACAAACAAACAAAGAACCAGACTCTTATGTAACCAAGACTGACCTCAAATTCTTCAAATTCATTTTGTAGCTGAGGATGACCTTGAACTTCTGACCCTGCTGCCTCCATCTCCCAGTTCTGGGATTACAGGTGTGCAGAGTTGGGAACTGAACCCTAGGCTGCCTGCATGGTAGGCGGGCACTGTGCCAGCTGAGCTTCATTCCAGTCCCCATTTTAGTTGTATCAGTGATGGGGCCTGGAAGAGGCCCGCTTATCTCTTTCCCAGGTGGCAATGACCCATCCAATGGTGTGCACAGCTAGCTAGACTGCAGAACACAGCTGTGGGACACACATGTGGACGCATGGCTGAAACATTTGTAAAAGGTCCATAGTGTCTGCGGTCTGTCTGATTTGTGATTTTGCCAACTTCATATCTGAGTGGGCTTTAGTCCAGTACCCAGGCGAGAAATTTTTTGTGTTTGTTTTAAGGCGTGGTCTCTTGTGGCCCAGACCGGCCTCCAACTTAAAAAGTAGCCAAGGGTGTCCTTCAACTTGAGATTGTCCTGACTGCAGTCCCCCAGTGCTAAGATCTAAGGCGTACAACACCACGTCTGGTTTATGTGGTGCCGGGCGGGAATGGAACCCAGGACTCCGTGCATGCATGCTGGGCAAGCTCTCTACCAACTGAGTCAAGACTTTTAAATGAGTTTCACTCCAAATATCACCAGAATTCTCCAGACCATGGCCTGTCATCCAGCTTGCCCTTAGAGTTTCCCTCAGACTGACTGTCTGCTGAGGTCCACACGGTGGGGACCATGACTGCAGGGGGTGGCCACGCCCATAAACAATGCTGCCCCAGTGTGCCTCTGGCAGTGCTCCTCATACCCCATGTGACCTCCGAGTAGACAGGTGGCTGCCACTTACAGGCTGGTACCAGCCCGATGACAGTACATGCTGAGGGAAGTGTGCAGGAATCCACAGCCCCTCCCCCAGCCGCTGTGCTTCAGGGCACACAAGAAAGGATTCCCACTGGGTTTTATAACCAGGTCACACGTAAACTGTGTCAGCCCCAGCAGATAACATTTATCACACCACAGGGAAGCCAGAAAGAAAAAAAAAGTGAAACAAAATGAGGTCCCTGTTCATGAGAAAGGAGCCCTCTAGCTTGGGCGAGGAGGGCAGGGCCCATGTGACAATTGGCAAACAAACACGGCACTGTGGCGTAGACTAGCATTCCACAGGGCTGTAACAACACTGTTGGACTGTGCAGTGCGGACAGTTGGGGACCGGGAGGTAGTAATGCGTTGATTGTGCAGAACAGACAGTGGCAGCCAAGGCCGGACTCTGCGAGGCTCATTGTGTGGCTCAGACAGTCTGTACAAAGACAGCCACAGAGAAGGCTTTTGGGCATAGGCTGCTGGGGACAGCCGGGTACCTAGACCAGTGACCTGGGCCTGGGAAGAACACCAGACCGTTTTGGAAATCTGCCCTTCTTCTGGCTGCTCCTGGGCCACACCTGTCCAGTGTCATCTGCCGACCACTGCTACACTAGTGAGAGCCTCTTCGTGGGTCTGAGGACACCCGGGCCACAGGCTAGCAGAGCCCAGTGAGTCCTGGAGCCCACGCCCGGGGTCAGACCTTACCCGGTTCTGGCATGTTCTGGGGTCTTAAGCAAAAGAGGTAGTAGCTTCCTGTCCCTCTCCTGGCTTAGCTGAGAGACGGGAAAGGCAAGGGTGAAGCACCATCCTCACCTTGGGGCTGTAGGTTCGAGGATCAGCTGCCCGGAGGCTTAGAAACCTGGCAGATGTGTAATTACTCCCCCGGTGGCCACTGGAGGGTGTCACAGGAGGGTGCTTGGCCACAAGCCTCCTGGGTCCCAAGATACCAGGATTGCTTTCCCTAAACCATCTTTGAGAAGCCTATCAGGTGAAGTTCAACCCTCCACAAGCCCAGCACTAGATGGACCCTGGAAAGGGTAGGAGTCTGGCCCTAGCTTACTTTTACTGTTATTATTTAAATATGTGCAGACATAAAGCTGAACTCTGAGGCCTCAGCTTTTGGCTCTTCCGTGGCTGTAAAGCTGGCAGAGACCAGAGGCCGTTACCAATGAAACCCAATGATGCTGGCCGCATAATCTGCTGGAACGTTCCAATTTTGAAATCCAAATTAAAATTTACAATACCACCTCTCTCGTTTTTATTGGTTCTGGATCATCAAGGACCAGTGGCTTAGCCCCAACTAGGTTGTAAATATAAACCCAAGCCAGGGGCCAGAATTACCTAAAGCAATAAGGACAAGGCCACAGACCCAGAGACCTGGCTCCTGGGCCTGAGCAGGGGACCAGAAGTCTAAGGCTGGATCTTTCCAAACTTCCAGTCTGCAACTGAGTACGGACTAGGTGGCTAGGTGAAATGGTCCCCAGCTTTGTTCCTAGGACACAGAGGAAAAGGAGAGATGGCCCGTGCCTCTGAGCCCCCTTTCCTCTCCCACTGCAGATCTTTGGGTTCCTGGCCAGCTTCCTCTGCCTGGCAAGCTTGTGGCTGTCCTACAAGATCACTTACATAACCCAGTCGACAGGTAAGCACCGGCCATCGGGACACAGGGCACAGGGGGTGGGAGGTTTGCCCTTGGCTCACCAATAGGCAATGGGGCAGGGCACAGAAGGAGGACCCTGCCTGCCGTCCTATCCATCTCTACATGCAGAGGGATGCATCCTGGGATGTCCTCTGTATGACCGAGTATGACTTGAACTCCTGACCTTTTTGCCTCTGCCTCCCAAGTGCTGAGATTCTACAAGCATTTCAAACTCTTACAAAATGTAGGCAAAGTTTTCATTGTTTTGTTTTTTCTTAAGCAAGGCCTCACTATGAAGCCCAGAGTAGGTTTGAACTTGCAATCTTCCTGCTTCAGCCTCCAAAGCGATGGGATTACAGGGGGCATGGTGGTGGTGCACGCCTTTAGTCCCAGCACTGGGCAGCAGAGACAGGTGGATCTCTGTGAGTTCAAGGCCAGTCTGGTCTACATGGCTTGTGTCCTGCCAGGGTGAGAACATATCTCAAAACCCGGAACCATGCCTACTACTTCATCATGTGCCAGATGTTTCCCTGGTGTCCGCAGGGATTCTCAATCTTTATTTTATTTTTTAGTGATGAGGGCACTCGCCCTTTTTCCTAGTCAGTTTTGGGGTTTTGGTTTTGTTTAATTTTTTTGTTACTGAGTACTGCTATAATGATTGCCCTTACAAATTAACCCTGCTATACATACTTAATGGGTTTTACCCTTAAGTTCTTTGGCGGCTGGGGTGGGGATTAGTCAGTGTCTACCTGTGTAGCCCAGACTAGCTTTGAACTTTTGGCAGGCCTCTTGCCTCAGTTTCTCAAGTGCTAGGTTTACAAGCATGCACCACCACACGAAATAAGCCATGTTCTTAAGAACTGATTGTGACATCATGGGGCTGGTGGTAAATGCTTGTGATCCCAGTAGTGGGGGTTACAGCAGGGAGATCCAGAGTTCAAGGCCATCGGACTACACTTCACGATCCTGTAACACAGAAACATTAGACTTCAGAAAGCCCAAACCAACACAACTGTTTTGATAAATTCACTCTTCTCTTCAAGCCACAACTTCCTTTCATTTTAGATTTTAAGTGGGGGCCGGGGGCTCCTGTGTGTGTGAATGTAGGTACCTTCAGAGGACAGGAGAGGGTATTTGATCCCCTGGAACTGGAGTTACAGACAGTTGTGAGCCACCTGGCATGGGTGCTGGGAGCATTACTTGGGTCCGTTCAAAGAGTGTGAGGAGCAGATGCTCTTCACTGGTAAGTCATCTCTCTGCTCCTCTCTTTCCTTCCTTTTTAGAGGGCTGGGGTTCAGTCAGTACAACGCTTGCAATGCAGGCATGAGAACCAGAGTTCAGATCCCTAGTACTCAACGGAACAAGGCAAATATAGTAGCTACATCTGCAATCCCAGCACTGAGCTGGAGACGGGCAGACACCTAAGCCCCAGACAGTGAGTGCCAGGTTCAGTGAGACGCCCACTCTATTCAGAGCGTGGACATGTGGAACAGAAGAAACCCATGGCTTCAGGGTGATTTCTGTTCCTGGCAAGGTGACCTAACTTTCCATTTCTCTCTCAAGATGCATCTGCCTGACAAGGCCATCGCCCTCTGTCCCCTCAAAAGGACCTGCAGAATGCAGGCTCACCCCAGGAGGACCCCAGGTATGACTATGGACTGCCCAGGTGACAAGACTTTGCCCAGACACTGGGCTGCTGAGCATCAAGCAGCCCCAGCCTCCTTCCAGCCTGCCACAGAGGACAGCCTCCACTCTGGGCTCTTAGCACACACACTCGGGTACCAAGGACTGCACTGAGTACAGTGGAGAGACTTCCGGATCCGCCTTTGTTCATCCCCTCAGGACCAGAGTCCTCGTGGAAGCAGTGGAGCCTAATTTATCTGGCCTATCTATCAATCTGGTCGGGAAGAGCCTCTGTCCTAAGTGAGGAGCCAGCAGCAACACTATGCGGCCGCTCTGTTTCTCGGGTCCCTGTCGCTGCCTTTGTGGTGGTGTGGGGGGGGGGAGGGTGTGGTTTTTAATAAAACACTGTCAGTCGCAGCTGGCTTCTTATTGAATGAGATGTCTGCAACACCAGGCCTTGCCATGCCAGTCTGTCTGTTACACAATCAACCCCGAGCTCTGTATGTACTCCATGCTAAATGCCCTGGCTACCCTTTCTCCCTCCTAGGCTGGCCTCAAACTGAACTGCAGCTGAGGATGACCTTGAACTCTGATCCCTGTGCCTCTGCCTCCCTGGTGCTGACATTACAGGTGTGCCAGGAAACACAGTGGTGCTGGGATGGAACCCCGGGCTCTATGCACATTAGGCAACCGCTTTACCAACTGAGTACATCCCCAGTCACACACACACCATACCCACTTTTGGTAGAATCTTATGTAGTCTGGGTTGGCCTTGAACTTGCTTGGCAGGCAAGGGTGACCAATGAACTCCTGATCCTCCAGCCTCCACCTCCCAACAACTGGGAATCTTCTAAAACCTTGTCCCCAAAGTAACCTGGCTGTGTGGATAGGGACTGGTTAGAACAGTGGGAACCCAGAACCCAGGCACACCGACAACCACGTTGTACCCTTCTGCATGGCAGAGCCCTGCTGGACTGGAGGAGCCCTGGGTACGAGTCTGCGGAGGGCATCACTAGGGGAGAAGGAGCTGAGAAGGTGGCCGAGCAGCAGCTTTTTGAGGTGGTCTATCGCTGGATCCCAGGCCACCTCCCTACCTGGCATGGCAGCCCACATCTGTAACCCCAGCACTGTGGAGGGTAAAGGCAGGCCAATCAGGATCAGTTACATATAAAGTTCAGTGTCACCCTGGGCTGCATGGGCTCCTGTCTAATTAAAAAAAACAAACAATCACACAGCAACAAAACAAAAGCCAGGAGGAGAGGTGGCTCACACCTTTAATCCCAGAACTTGGGAGACAGAGGCAGAGGGATCTCTATGAGTTCAAGGCCAGTCTGGTCTACACAGCAGGTTCCGGGGCTACATGACAACAAAGAGAGCCTTCCCCTACCTCCTGGTTCACTTTCAAACCACTGCCTAGCCACAGCTAGGGAGGGCCAAGTGTGCATGTGAGGGGGGAAAGGAGAGTAAGTGGGGTTTACAGGGGAGAGCAGGGAAGCTGCAGCCTTCCCAGTCTTCCCCAGCAGCCCCAGGGCCCTGAAGATGAGGTCATGGCTGGGCTGCCTCTGTACTCCACCATGGTCAGCATTTTCTGGGCCTGACTGGGCCCTGGAGGGGGAGATAAAGTAGGAAGAGGCTGTGGATGGCAAGTGATTGCTACAAATAGAAGTTCTGTGCTGCTCAGACAGGGCTCTGGCCACTGGCTGCCTTTGAGGCCCTTCAGGGAAGACACCAGCCCTGGACAGACTACAAGGAAGGCCTGCAAGGCCCCAGAAGGAAGCCGGAAGGACAGGAGATTGACGACAATGCTGGAGCTTGATGATAAGCGTGGCTGTCTCCTGAGCCGGGATAAGACTGCATAGTCCCAGCCCCTTCTGAGAAGCTGGCCAAAGGAGGGGTACAAAGACTCAGAGTCTTCTCACACCCAAGGTGTCTGCCAACATGAGAGACCAACTTCCACATGGTTAGCAGCTCTTAAGGGCCCTGCTCAATACTACTACCCACGTCTTTTGGGGGCTGAGTCATGTCCTGTTACCCCAAAAAGGCACTGCAGGGCTGCAGACAGTGGTGCATGTATGAAGTATGTGTTACCTAGGGCTAGAGAGACAGCTCAGTGCTTAAGAATGTTGACTGTTCTTGCAGAAACCTGGTTCCATTCCCAGCATGCACGTGGGGGCTCACAACCACCTATAACTCCAGTTTCTTCCAGGGCATCCAACGCCCTCCTCTGGCCTCTTCAGAATGTGGTGCAGACATAGATGCAGGCAAATGCTCATACATGAAATAAAAATAAATCTTAAAGAGAAATGTGGGCGGGTGTTGGTGGCGCACGCCTTTAATCCCAGCACTCGGGAGGCAGAGGCAGGCGGATCTCTATGAGTTCGAGACCAGTCTGGTCTATAGAGCAATTCCAGGACAGGCTCCAAAACAATACAGAGAAACCCTATCTCGAAAAAACAAAAAACAAAAAAAGAAGAATGTGTTACTATTGCCTTTTCATATAGGCCAGCCACGGGTAGTAAACCCCAATGGTGCAAACCTCTCCATGGGCACCCCGCCCTGTCCAGTCTTTGAGGGATGCTGGCCTGGGCATGGCCTCCCTGTACCACAGTGAGGCATGGCTATGGAGATCCTCCACCTGCTCCCGAGCTCAAGACTAACCCACCACAGACTGACATCGTCAGCCACCTCCCTGCACGAGGCAGCTCCTCAGGCAGAGTCCTGCATTGTTTCCCTCTTCTCCTTTTCTATTATGAGATGGGGTCTCTATAGCCCAGGCTAACCCTGAGTTCCGTACATACCTAAGGATGCCCCTGAACTTCTGATCTTCCTGCCTCCAGAGTACCAGATGCTGGGGTTATAAGTGTGATCCACACATCCTCTGTCCTCATCAACCAGCGTGACAATAAGTTGATGTTATTTGTATTAGTCATGGATGTGTGTGCCAGATTGCCTATTCTATATAATAAATTTTCATGAATAAATTGGATTGATAAGAGGATTTCTTTTTACTATAAAAAATAAGTTTAGTGCTAGAGATGTAGCTCAGTTGGTAGTGCTCACACAGCCTGCAAAAAACCCTCTGCACGAACAGGACGTGGTGGTGCATGTGTGTAATCCTAGCAAGGCCCAAGTCCAGGCAGGGGGGTGAGGAGTTCAACCAAGGTCAGGTGGGGATTGGAGAACCCTTATCAAAAACAAAAACAAAGGCAGGTGTGATGTAATCTGTGTCCAGGAGGCTGAGGCTGGAAGATGAGAAGTTTGAGGCCAACATGAGCTACAAAGTGAGAAAAAAATAAATACAAAAAGGTGTAAATACATTTTAAACATGTTTTCAAGTTTGTAAGCCGACTGCTAGACTTAGAGCACTAGGTGGATGGCAAGGGTGGCCGGGTCCAAGAGGCTTTCTTTCCCTCAATAAGACCACCAGGAAATACTCGCTGCCTCCTGGGAAGTTGGGACAATCCATGGGTTCCTTCCTGTGTGTCTAGAAAAATTGCGAAAAACAAAAATGTTCTCCACATACACGTGCACAAAAAAGGAACCGCTACCACCAGAGAAGGAGCGCTGTCTGGATCAGTCAGGGCTCTCTAAGATCCGGCCGACCCTGACCCTGCCTGCTGGGAGCTTTGCTCCGGAGGTGGCAGCTGGCCCAGGGCTGCCACCTGCCAGCCGCTCACTGCTGCCAGCCGCCCCAGTGACCCAGAAAATTGGAAATCTGGGCTTTCTAGCTAAGCATCTCCGGATCTGGAAACGTTGCCAAAGAAACCTTCTAGAAACACAGCTGAGTCCAAACACAAAACCTGTGTGGAGGCAGATGCGGCGGGCTGGTCCACCCTGCGTGTGTCCTGGCAGTTCTGGGGTAAACGGGGGAAGTTAATCAAGCCGAGGCCCACAGGGCTGCCACCTGTTTCCTCTCGCAGCCGCGCAGGGCGGAGGCCTCCCGCGGGAGTCCCCTGCCGCAGCTGTGCATGCTTGCAGCAACCTCTCCTGCCAACAGCACTCTGCACCCAGTTGCAGAAACGAAACGGCACGCGGAGGTGGAGGCCAAGGCCTTGCGCCCACTTTGCAGCGCGCGCCCCCTAGCGGCCAGCAAGACGCACTGCCGCCCCGGCCCCACCAGAGCCGTGGCCGAGGTTCCGACCTAAAGCCACAATAAATTCTTACCCTGTGGGGCTGGAGAGATGGCTCAGAGGTTAAGAGCACTGGCTGCTCTTCCAGAGGTCCTGAGTTCAATTCCCAGCAACCATATGGTGGCTCACAACCCTGTGGAGCTGGAGAGATGGCTCAGAGGTTAAGAGCACTGGCTGCTCTTCCAGAGGTCCTGAGTTCAATTCCCAGCAACCATACGGTGGCTCACAACCATCTGTAATGAGATCTGGTACCCTCTTCTGGCGTGCAGGCAGAACATTGTATACATATTATTAATAAATAAATAAAATCTTTAAAAAAATTCTTACAATGTGGATTAGTCATAGTCCTGAACTCTGGACATGCGCTAACCACTGGTACATGCCTGGTCTCTCCTTCCTTCGACTAGTTTTTTTACTATGTAGAATCAAGAAAACAGCCAGCTATTCTGTAACTACTTGGTATTAGGGTTCTCCTGAGAAACAGAGGTGATCTCTCTCTCTCTCTCTATATACTATATATATATATATATATATATATATAAACATATATATATATATATATATATAACATATATATATAAACATATATATATATATATATATATATATACTATATATATATATACTATATATATATACTTATATATATATATATATATATACATATATATATATACTCATATCTATATAAACATATATATATATATATATATATATATATACTATGTATATACTATATATATATATCATATATATCATATATATATATATATATATATATATATACATATATCCATATATATATATATATATATATATATATATATATATATATATATCTCTCTATCTATATCTCTCTATCTATATCTCTACCGTTTATTCAAGTGGCCTGGTCTACAGGGCTACACAAAGAAGCCCAGCCTCAAAAACACCCCATAAATCTATAATGCACGTTACTTGTGGGCATCTCAGGACAGCCGGTACTACAAATGTGTGCTGACACACGTGCGTACATGTGCATGAGTGTGCATACCCACATGGGTGTGGACCCCAGAAGGAACCCGTGTTCCTTGAGACCCATCCACCTTCTCTCCTCCCTGGAGCTCACCGAGCAGGTGACACTGGCTGGGCAGAAACCTCAGGAATTCTCCTCCCTCTGCCTCCCCGATGCTCCAGATGCCACCACACCCAGCTCTGTATGGGTTCTGGGTTCAAACTCAAGACCTTTCAAGCCCTTAACAAGTGTTTTATAAACTGGGGGTTTGGTTTCTCCCTAGTGCACCCTGAGGTTTTCTCCTCACTCTGATTGATAATCCCTTCCTCTGCTACCAGGACCAATTTTTACACACTGGAAACTGAGGAGCTTTGAGGCCGGGTATTTTCACACCATGCTGGGATAGAATGGGGGTGGGGGAGGGCTGGATTACGTTAATCCAGTCACAGTGCATTCGCCATAGTCATCAGTGAGATGATGAGCCGGGCCCACTAAGGGCTGGAGGGAAAAGAGCACTTGGAGGCAGGAGAATAACCCTTTCCTGTGAGCAATGGTGTCTAGGTAGAAAACCCTGGACACAGGTTGGTCTGGGGTGATACTATATAGCCACTAATTTCCCAGGCTGGTCTCCAACTCCTGGGCCCAAGAGACCCCCTTCCCCAGCCTCACAGGTAGCCTCAGGGACTAAAGACACGCCACCAGGCATGGCGCCTTCCTTCCCCAGACCTACCTTACTGTTGAGGACCCTGCCATTGGTTTTCTCTATTCTCCGCAGCTGGGCTGCATATAGATACAATGTTCTTTATCAACATAAAACAAAAAAGCCTGCAGAATGCACAAATTCCAGTGAGTTCCTGATGACTATAAAGGTCCTGTTATTCTCTAGGGACTGGAGGCAGGAATTTTACAAACTCCACAAATAGTTCTGACTCAGCAGAACCTCCTGGGTTTGCTTCCCACTGTCTAGCTATCAAGCTGTCCTAAACAGATACATCTCTCTATAGCTCCAGAGTCACATCTAGAATGTGAAGTGGAGTTCAAACTCATTTCTCCAAAGCTGTCCCAAACAGATACATCTCTCTGCAGCTCCAGAGTCACATCTAGAATGTGGAGTTCAAACTCATTTCTCCAAAGCTGTCCCAAACAGATACATCTCTCTGTAGCTCCAGAGTCACATCTAGAATGTGAAGTGGAGTTCAAACTCATTTCTCCAAGTTACTTAAGTGGAGTCAGCACACATCTATGATACCAGAACTTGGGAATGGAAGACAGAAGGCTCAGGAGTTCAAAGCCATCCCCATCTACATAGTGAGCTTGAAACCAGCCTGGTTTCATGAGGCCCTATCACAAAAACAAAAACATAACAAAACAAAACAAAAACCAGAAGGGAAAGGAGAGGGGAAGGAAGAGAAAGAGGAGAGAGGCAGGAAAGTAATTTAAAGCCAATCAGTGTAGAACATTCTTTTATAACTCATCCCATGTGATGCCCTAAAAATATTTTTGTTTATCTGGCTGGCCTGGAACTCACTATGTAGCTTAGATTGGCCTTGAACTTACAGAGATCTGCTTCCACCACAGCTGGTCCTAAGAATATTTTTCACTACCGCATAGGCCAGGTTGACCTGAGGTGGTGATCTTCCTGCCACAGCTGACAAACCTGCTATTTAAGTAAGTCCTCTCCCTCCCCCGAGGGCAGCCCGAGGATAGGGAGCAGGTTTGTTCCTCCAGACCCCTCCAACCACACACACACACACACACACACACACACACACACACACACACACACACACACACACACACGTAGTCCTCTCAGAGGGGCTTATCTAAACAAGTCTATGCAATGAACAACAGTGAAGACATCACACTGGAATTAAAAGGATTTATTTTAAAAGATTATAAAAGTTATATTAAGAGTGATAAAAAAAGACCCACAGGTTTTAAATCAACAAATAGAAAAGTGATCGGATATAAGCAATGTAAAAATACATTTCCCAGTCCCCGCATAAAGCATAATTTAAGTATAGTAATTATAAAAGTCTTGTGCTGTAAGTATATTTCCCTTCTAAGTCTTAAAAACCATTCTAAACAGTTTGTATAAAATACAGCAAATCACATTTGCTACAGCGGCTAATAAAGACGTCTTTTCTGCGTTGACAGTCCCAGCCCCAGCTCTTCTTGAGCTGATTTGGTGACAGTCTTTAACCCCATCACCCCTCCCTGCCCCCCAGCCCCAGAGGATGCACAAGTCAACCGGTCACAGGTCCCCCAAAAGAGGAAGTTCTAAGAGTGACCAATTATCCTCTTACAGGGAAGGAATGGAGTAGCCAAGGAGCCCTCGACTGTGGAGCAAAGCAAACTCACGGTAAACAACTGGATGCTAAGTTGCTGCATGGGTGAGACAGTGTGTCTGTGCATCCTGAACAAGCCTAACGCTGGCAGAGAGGTATACTCCTGGGTGGCATTACTGAGAGGTGGGACCTGGTGTGAGGGTGGCAAACCCTCTAAAGGGAACACAGCACCTCAAGTCATTCCCGCTCACTGCTCGCTTCCTGGAGGCACAGGATGAGCTGCCTGCTCTACCAAGGCCCTACCATGATGTGCTGCCTCCTAACAGAGCAGGACTAACAGGACTGACCACGGCTGAAGCTTACAAAACTGCACGCCCACACAAACCCTCTTTTTCCTTTTTTTTAACTTTAAGATGTAAAGTTATGTATGCCATTCATGTTTGTGTGCCAGAGACCAGACACTGGGTCCCCTGGTGGTAGAGTATCAGGCCGTAGAGAGTCACCCTATGCCGGCGCTGGAGAACAGAACTCAGGTCCTCTGAAGAGAAGGAAGAAGCACCAACCTCTGCCCCATCTCTCCAGCCTCAACCTTTCCTCTTTTTAAGATGACTGTCACAGGTATTCTGTTACAATGCCAAACAGCTGACTAACAGTGGGTTACACTAACGTTGCCCTGATTTGCTGTTAATTCTTAACAGGTCTAGATGATAGTTCCAATGCTTGATGTAAAATTCTAAATTGTCTGCTGTAAACTGGTTCCTTTTGAGTTATTCTGTTCTTGGTTTCCAGCGCCTACATATTGTCCTTTCTCTCAGATGGCATGCCCAGTAAGGCAACACCATGATTGGTTTCATGATCTCCCAAGCAGCTAACCCGCCCGACGCCAGCAGGTCAGTCAGTGAGGCAGGGACAGAAGAAGCTCCGTGCCCGGATCCACCCACTTCTGAGAACTACAAGAGCCTCACTCGTGTAACCAAAACCACTCACAATGACAGACAGAGACTGAAAACGAGGGGAACTTTACACCAAATCCCTGGAAACATGATCGCACGTCCTCAGAGACAAACCGCAGCCTGGGAAACCTCCACTAGAATACAGAGGCCTTGACATATTTCGGTCTCAGGCAAACCCCAGAATGAAGATAAGAAAGAAAGGTCCCCTTTGGGCACACAGGTGTCTCAGTGGCTCTAAGTTAGCCTTGAAGCAACAAGCAATCCTTGCAAAGTGTGGGGATAGTCTGTAGCCTCCTCACACCACCAACAGTATTCACTAGCAGGGCTTCCAGGATCGGCTTTCTCAAGACACCTCCCCTGGAGAGAAACTCAAGCAGAGGCCTGTGGGAACAAGAACCTGACATTCCTGCCTCAGACTTTGGTTGACAAGGAGGGGGGCACAAAAGTCTGGCCAGCCTGGAGATGGCGGACGATGAACTAGAGGGAGAAGGGGAGGGACGGAGCAAGAGCGAAGGCTCCCTCTGAAGATGGTGATGTGGCCCAAGGACACTGAGAGCGTCAGAGAGGAGGAGACAGACTCAGGTGGGTGAGCAAGCCCAGCGGGACTCCAAAGAGAGGCTGCGGAGCCGTGTGCACCTGAGCAGAGATGACGGTATGCCAGGAAGGAGGCCCACAGCTCCCAACTCACAGGATGAACACCATCAACTGCCATTCCGTGTGCGTAGCACGACCCTTCACATCTCTGCCGAGAGGTCAGGGCCCATCTGTGCAATTATGTCCACTGTACACAGAGTCCATTCTATCTTTGGTCTTTAGATGTAGTATCAGTTTCTTCACCTTTCTGCATTCTGTAACAATCTTTTTTCTTTTAATTTTAACAACCAGAGTGCAATGTACAAACCACAAGGCGGCTGATATTGTTGCTTTTATACACATAAACAGCACTATGCACTTTCCGTTAGGCAATACATGGATCAAAAAGAGCAAGGATAACTCCCTTTGGGTTAGCACGTAAGCGTAAGGTGAGGGAGACAAAGACAAGGATCATGTATTAGGGAAGAAGCCTACACCAGCACCTTAAACACAGTGAAATCTCCAACCACAGAACAGAATGTAACCAGCAAAAACTAACAGCAAAGCAAATAACTTTAAAATGAAACAGTTCCTGAAAGGATGGAGAATGAACGGTCTGGAAGCTAAATCCGGTGTAGCCTGTAGCAAATGACAGACATGCAATCAAAGACAACAGTGCTCATCTTTAACAACAAACAAACAAGCAACAAAACCTCCTCCGTTAGAGATAAGCTCCCAGGTTATTAAAAACCCTCTGTGCTAACTGCAGGGCTGCCACCCCACACTGAGAAGTCACCCTCCTGCCCCTTCCCTTCTCTCCAACAGACGAGGTGCACACATGACACAGGTCCCACGGGAAGGAGTACTCCTCTGGTCCGCAGTCTGCTCCTGGCCTAAGCATTGAGCGGCTCGGTGAGGGCCTCAGCCCGGGCGTGGTTCTCAGGCTTTCTCAGCTGGCTCTCCTGCCGTTTCTCACACAGCATGACCACAAAGTCTAGCAGGAACATCAGACTTGCTATAAACCCAAACACCTGGGGAAGAAAAGGGGGTTTAGCTGAGGGAGCGCAAGGGGGATAGTCACACGTGCTACTCGGCCTGCCAGTCCACTCCACCTCACCACTACTTCCCTTTTCTCTTTCTTTCTTCCTTCCTTTCTTCCTTCCTTCCTTTCTTTCTTTCTTTCTTTCTTTCTTTCTTTCTTTTTGTTTTCAAGACAGGGTTTCTCTGTGGCTTTGGAGGCTGTCCTGGAACTAGCTCTTGTAGACCAGGCTGGTCTCGAACTCACAGAAATCTGCCTGCCTCTGCCTCCCAAGTACTGAGATTAAAGGTGTGCACCACCACCACCGCCTGACATAACTACTTTCTTAAAGAGATGTTTTGTTTTTACCTACATGCATGTGTTTGTCTGAGGGAATGAATAACAAATGTGTGGGGGTTCCTTTGGAGGCCTAAAGAGATCACAGGTCCCCTGGAAGAGCAGTAAGTGTTCTAACTCCAGCCCCACACTTACTATTCTTTAACAGAATTTAAAAGTCATTAAGAGAGGAAAAGAAGGGACAGGAAATTTTCCAGAATAACAGGTACTACTCAAAGTCCCACAAGACACAAACACCAGATCTCCTGTCGTGTGGTGCTAGGCACAGAAGCCAGTGCTACTGCATGCTAAGCAAGCGCTTTACCACAGAGCCGGAGGCCCAGCTGGAAGAGACACAGCCCAGGAGAGAGAGAGTCCCCTGCTCCTCTGTCTGCTACTGCAAGTCCCCAGTCCCACCCCTCTACCTGATACCTCCAAGTGACATTCCCTGTAGGACAAGCCAGGAGTCACCTTGAATACTACCTACCTCCTCTGGAAACTTGTGGAAGGAATTCCCTTCATCCCCAGATTTCCGGTTGGGATTTGGACTAGTCCCTGCTGCAGTTATTTAAAAATCAGCTTTTCCATCTCTGCTTCCCAGCTAAACCCTGGTGCATGACAGATAAGCTAGCTGACTCCAAACACAATTCCCATGTGACAGGAAGGAGGGGCAGTTTCTAACTGCCAAGAGGTCACCTGTCACTCAGAAGACCCCAATCCTAACTGAGGCAGGCTGCCTCCACCTCCACCAGCAAGAGACACTAAAAATCCCTGTTAGCCTAGGAAATCCCAAGGCTGGTGTGAAGACAGCTTCAATCCACACACCTCTCCCTTCCTAGTTGCTCTGTTTTCGAATCCTCTCCTGAAGAAGAGTTGCTAAGAGGAGACCCGCCTGAAGGGCTCAGACACTGGGGTCCAGGGTGACCGTGAAGTGGATTTATTACAAGGGTTAAGATGCCACGGGAAGACGGGGCTCTGAGCAGAGGGAGTCCGACAAGGCAGTGTGACTGGCTCCCATAGGTTTCAGAAGGAGGAATGTATGCACGTGGGTGGGCAATAGTCCATAGTATGTGCTTAGAGTTCAGTTGTCTCTGATTCTTGTGTGGCAAGAACTGTGTGACCTTCAGGATGTCCCTGTCTCCTCTCTGGGGGGCTGGAAAATAATGCAGGAGCATTTTACCCATTAAACCTGGGCTTTTTCTAATTTGGTTTCATTTTGTCTGATTTGGATTGCTGTGTGTGCGGAGAGGCTTAGGGGGTGCAGAAACTTTTCAGGAGGAGGGGCTCCAAGAGAACAAACCTCTGGTCCAGACTGGCAGGTTGTTACCCATAGGGCATCATCTATTAAAAAGACCACACATGAACCAGTCCTGGCCCTTCTGAACAGGTAGAAGCTCTTCCACACACATCCAAGGCAGCTGACGTTGTTATGGGGATCTTAAATAGTACCCAAACGGGCTTCTCGCCTCCATACAGACTGCACACACCTCACGTCAGACAGCGAGCCTCCATCATCAGGCAGAACAGAGATGAATGGCCACATGCACTAACAGCACAAAGATGACGTGACTGCAGCAGCTTCCTCCTCCACGCATGCTCAGCACCCCAGCTCCACATGGCTAAGGCCTTTCTGACTGGCATATGGAAGCCTCCTGAGCTAGGTGACTCTCCCCTCCCCACACAGCCCTAGGTGATCACATCCACTCTGTCACACACCTGACATTCCTAAGGTACACTGCTAACAACCGTCTACCAAAGCCTTCCCGACTCACCATCTCTCCCCATCCACCTGGGGAATGAACCCTACCTAAAAATCCTCACCTCTAAGCCCCCTACTCAGCTTGGCCCTTCTCACCCCAACTGCTGCTGGATTACTGGATCTTAGATCTTAACTTTTGCCAGGTCAAAGCTGGCTCAGAGACCACAAAAACAAACAACCTGTGCTAAATCCAGACACCAGCCCAACTCTTGGCTCCATCCTGAGGAATAGCTCTCAGTCACCCACAGATAGTCCCCTGACCTGCTGGAAGACCTCGAACTCTTATTCAAAAATCAACTAGATGAAGCCATTTCCTGCCTCTGCAACACAGGGAGAGTTCCTCCAAACTCTCCTCACTGTGCTCTGGTGACAGCCCCACTGACCACAAAGACTGGTGTCCTCGGCATAGCTGACTGCGGACTAACTTTACGGCTTCACCAGATGAGGCTGTGTTCTTTGTTGTAACCTTGGCCTACTCTCACAAACAAGGTCGCCTCCCCCTTTTCTCTCTGCTCCCATGCCTGTTCAGTCTCCTTAAAGAGGTCCCTCTCTTATCCTGCCCCGGGACTGACCTGGGAAGATTCACTCTGGTTCCAGACACTGCTATTCTGACAGGAGGCCTCAGACTTACAGGATACATATATCCAAAACATGTCCTAATTTCCCAGACTTACACCTCAAGAGTCCCCACTGTCAGACCCTTCTATCACAATACTTCTCCCCATGTACCCTCTACTTTACCAGAGAAGCCTTCAAGGGGCACCAAGGCAGGACATCTAGATCCCTACTATGCAAGCTTACCAAAACTCTGAACATTTCACTGGCTGCAAGACAGTCCTTTGACCAAGTCTCCCTTCCCCCCTGGACTAAATATCTACCTCCTCTTTCCTTATATTTTTCTTATTGGTTGGTGAATAAATGCTGACTGGTCAGTAGCCAGGCAGGAAGTGTAGGCGGAGCTACTAGACTAGGAGACCCCTGAGAAGAGAAAGGCAGAAAAGGGCCGCCTGAGAGACGCCATGCAGCCACCAACGGAGTAACATGCCAGAGCATTACGGGTAAGCCACAGTCTCATGGCAATACATAGTTAATAGAAATGGGTTAGTAATTAAGAGACAGCTAACCAGTAAGAAGCCTGAGTCGGCGGCCAAACAGTTTAGAATTAATATAAGCCCTAGTGTATTTTAATTGGGACCAATAGCTGTGGGACCAGGCAGAATAAAAACACCATCTTCAGGCTCAGAGGCTAGCCGGTCACCATACCGTCAGGGATACCCAAAATCACACACCTGTCTCTTTCTATGGCGGCCTCAAGATGAGAAGTCCATCTAGCTAGTAAGAAGGCCACCCTTGCTGGGTGTGGTGGTGCACGCCTTTAGTCCCAGCACTCAAGAGGCAGAGGCAGGTGAGGTAGATCTCTGAGTTTAAGACCAACCTGGTTTACAGAGATGGGCTACATAAGCTACCAAAGAAACACTGCCTGAAAAAACTAAAAAACAAACAAAAAATAAAACACGCACACACAACAGAAGCCCCCTCATCTTATTATCCACAGACACATCAACCCTTCCTATGCTCTCAAGAGGTCTCAGCCCTAGTGCGTATACAAGGTCGCCGAAGAACAGACCCTAAGCAACATCTCAATTCCCAGCACCCCAACTCCTCCACCTCATGACCTGTAAAGCTGTGTCTTTATGACTACATCTTGGACCAGTTGCTTTAAGACCTGGCCACTTTAGGAGTCAAGGTAGCCCAGAAGGGATCTACACACACCAGCCTGCAGCCCTGCCAGCCCAAGCTAGCCTTGAGGTATGGTCTTCTTATCTATGTCCTACAAAGCCACATTTCTCCAGTGGAGCCATATTTTACCTTAGAGTAGCCCACCCCAAAATACCCTGTTTCCCATCTCTTCAGTGGTTTCAAAGTCAAGTCTCTGAGTCCCTGTCCTGGTGGCCAGCATTACTAGCTGAAATGTCCCAGCCTCCGCTATACTAACATGTGTGCAGGAGTCTGTGTGGGTGGAATCAATAAGACTTGGATCAGCAGATAAATGAAATTCCACAAAAGGGATCAAACACATGTTCATTTGCAATGGTGTCACTGACCCACAAATGTGATAAGGGAAGCATGTGACTTGCAACTCAGGTGAGGTGAAGACGGATGAAGTTACATTACCTAAAGTACATTTTTCCAGTTACTTGCCACACTTTAACACAGGGACATGATGCCACTACCTACTTCCTCTTCCTTAAATCACTTCCTCATTGTATTATTCTAACATATGACCAAACATTCTGAGAATTCTGTCAAGAGACAAAAGACCATGCTTCAAATTTAGCTTCCTCACTAGCAAAACCTTGAGGAAGTTGATGAAGACCAAAACAGAAAGAAAACAGCACCAAGTGTCTTACAACTCCATCCACCTTCTCCATGACTTTGTGCTGTGTGTGTGAGTGTGGGGTGCAGAGTGGAGGGGTGTCCTAAGTAGCTGGCCTCAGACTAAATCTCCTGCCTCAGTTTCCAGAATGCTAGGACTGAAGGCAGTGCCACACCTGGCTTACACTTCCGTGCCTGAGGTGACCTCTGGCAGTCTCTGGCTTCTTCCTTTCCTCAATTCCTCGTCCACCCTCAAGAAGACAGTTTCATCTCACCCACAGCAAACTGAGCTCTGTTATTCATTTACCTGGATGTCCCCAGCACAGCCAACACAAACTAATCTATAAACTCATTACCTTTTGGAGTCTGCTGTGGCTTGATTGCATCTGTCTATCCACTCATTCCTTACAAACCAGGCCGGCCCAGCACCATCTGCAACTCTCTGGACACTTTGTTTTTAACGATTTTACCTTTTTCTTTTCTGTGTCTGAGTATTTTGCCTACATGTATGTCTGCATACCATATGGATGCCCGGTGCTATAAGGAGTTGGGCCCCCTGGCGCTGGTGTTACGGGTGGCTTTGAGCCGTCACGTGGGCGCTGGGAACTGCACCTGCGTCTGTTGCACAAGCAGCAGCAGCTCTGGATGCTGAGCAATTTCAGCACTGTTGGCTCACTCAAACACCATCAATGCTTGCCTGGCTAACCCAAGCCCTTTCTCCTGAGTGCCTCTGCTCCTAAAGCAGTACTAAAGGGCAGAAAAGGCCGGGCGTTGGTGGCGCTCGCCCTTAATCCCAGCACTTGGCGGATCTCTGTGAGTTCGAGGCCAGCCTGGTCTACCAAGCGAGTTCCAGAACAGGCTCCAAAACAATACAGAGAAACCCTGTCTTGAAAAACCAAAAAAAGGCAAAAAAAAGGGTATGATGACAAAGGCCATCGTGCCACTTGCATTAGCAGACACTTGCTCACTGCAGCATAAAGAAAACTTTGGAAACGCAACTCAGTCAAAAGCAGACAGGTTCCCAGGCTCTTACGTCTACCATATCTGTTTACTTTTAGGTCTTCCACTCAATATTACATTTAAAAGTAGAAGGAAAACTTCTCTCGGGCTGGGGAGATGACTCAGTGGGGAAAAGCACTTGGCACACAAGCCTGAAGATCTGAGTTCAGATCCCAGAGCCCAAGAAAGAGTCAGACACAGTATGAAAAGCAGATCCCAGAATACCTACAGGAAGTGGAAACATGACATTCCAAGAAGCTAATGGGGCCAGGTGAGATGTCTCATGCCCCTGACCCCAGCACCCAAGTCTCTGGGGATTCTAGGCCAGACAGGGCTGCACAGAAAGATCCTACCTCAAAAAGGAGGGGTGGGAACCAGTGGGCTGGTTGGCCTGGCTACACAGCAGTGAAAAAAGACAGGAGCAAACTAAGGATCTTCCCTTACCTCCACATAGACCATGGTGTACAGGTGTCTACCCCACACAAGCACATACATCACTAATACAAACAAGTAATAGTTACTACTCTTACATATAACTTATCAAGGACTTTCTGAATTATTTGTTTGTTTGTTTATTTACTTATTGGTTTTTCTAGACAGAGTTTCTCTGTGTAGCTTTGGAGTCTGTCCTGGCACTTGCTCTGTAGATCTGGCTGACCTCGAACTCAGAGATCCAGCTGCCTCTGCCTCCCAAGTGCTAGGATTAAAGGTGTGTGCCACCACCGCCTGGCTAAATTCTCTATTTCTAAGGAAACAAAATTAAATAAGGTTAAAAATGCAAAGTACTTACAATTGCAGCAATTTCAGCTGAGGTCCCAGCATGGGTAGAAACAAAAATGATAGATGCCAACAGAAATACACAGCCTGTTCCCAGAGTGATGTAAAAATCCTACACATGCAGAGAGAACAGGGACACAGTAGGTCAGGTAAGCAGAACCAAGTTCAACATTTCTAGTTTCAAAACGCCTGAATGACTTACATTTTCTTGGTGCAACCTAATGTAAGCATGCTAGCCTGGTACCTTTTCAACAAGCCTGTAGTATTCATGTTACTTATCACTGTATGTCCACTATGTCTGGTAGGGAGGAGGCACATAATTCCTAACTATACAGCCAATGAGTGACACTCTAAATGTAAGAAATCAACTTCTAGGGCTGGAGAGTTGGTTCAGCAGTTAGGAACACTGACTGCTCTTCCAGAGGATCCAGGTTCAATTCCCAGCACCTACATGTCAGCTCACAATTGTCTGTAATTCCAATTCCAGGGCTTCTTGACACTCTCATACCAATGCACATAAAATTAAAATCTTCTTTAAAAAATGTTTATTTTAGGTAAGGCAGTACCATATATATATATATATATATATATATATATATATATATATATATATATATATATGCCAGCACTCAGGAAGCTGAGGCAGGAGGATCACAAGTTCAAGGCCAATCTGGGATAGTGAGACCCTGTCTCAAAGCAAACAACAACAAAGTACAAATGCCTAGTGTGAATCAGGTGAAGCCACCGATAACCACACAGGGCTGGTGGTTTCTCCCTCTCATTCAGACTCATTCCCCTTCCACCTTTGAAGCGGAGCTGGTGCTTAGCTCCAAATGCGCTCCTGCTGTAACAATAAACCGGGCTGACTCCCAGACAGCAGCGGCCGACACTTACCGACGACTTGACTTTTCCAGGGTCCACCCTGTCGTGCACTGGTGTGCAGTATACGATCAGCAGGAGGAGGCTCAGGAGAAAGGCACTACAGCTCACAAATTCAAAGAAGTACAAGCCTCCACACAACGTGCACTCGGACACAACCTCTTCACAGATGAAGGCCAGCAGAGACAGCAGCTACAGAAGGAAACCATAGACCTTAGTGACTCAGAGAACCCATGACATGCAAAACTACATGCAGGCTATGCCTGGTGGCACATGCCTGTAGACCAGACACTTGGGAGGCTGACACAGGAGGACCAAAAGTTCAAGACCAGCCTTGCTAAGACTGTGAGAACACCCCCCTACTAAAAAAATTTTTTAATTAAAACCACTATCTGTTTACTCAAATATTTTCAAAGTAGAGACTGGGGTAAATAAGATTAGTGAACAAACTCGATCAATAGAACTTACAGTCTGCTTGCCCTAAAGGGAAACTAGTCTGTGTGTCAGACAGAGAGACGCAGAAATGAGTGGTGAAACAGCCCAAAGGAGAGAGAGCTGAGTGCCACCCCACACGGCAAATCTTCTGTTTCTTCATGTGCTGTAATGAAGGAGTCAGCGGGAGAGTTAGCGAGGTGTAGTGGAGGCAAACGCTGAGTCTGGAGCTCAGGAGATGTGGCTACACACAGACCGGGAGGGAGCAGGAATCCTACGGGGTAACAGACGAATGTGGCCACCGGAAGAAGGCGGCAAGCATGCTGCTGCCGTTCAGAGGTCAACAACACCGGGGCGCCTGCACTAGACTGCACGACAGAGGGCTGCAGATGTATCGGTGACCCCGGCAGAGAAGTCAGATAACTCTGTGCTTTCGGGTGGGGGTGGGGAGACACTGCGGTGGCCTAGAAAAGCCACGTCAAGTCAGGGGTGCATCGGATGAAGTCACAGGAAGGGAAGCTCAAGACGAAGGCAGGAAGCACTCTTTACTGCCTTAGCAGAGACCGTGTGCTGGGAGGGACCGGAGACAGGCAGGGAGTAGCTCTGGACAGGGAGGAGCTGGCACCCACTCAGGGGGTTAACTCTTTATAGAAAGTGGAAGACTGTTCGTGAGAATAGGTTTTGTGAAAGCTTGGGGAATGATCTTCTGAGTGTCCAACCCATCAAAAGGACTGATGACCCAAAGTGAAAGCCAGAGGGAAATTCCACCTCACCCCAGAGGGCAGGAGAAACAGCCAGACACAAGAGGAGCATACACTGCTACAAAGAAACAACAAAGCACACTAGAGTCGGGTGCACACCGATACATCAGCCCTCAGCAGGCTGAGGGCTCGGGATCCACTGGAGTCTCAGGCCAACCTGGGCTATAGTGTGAGACCTTATCTCCAAAACCACCTAGGAGTTAGGAATGTAGCTCAGTGGTACTATGCATGACTGACATTCAGGAAGCCTTGGGTTCAATTTCCAGCCCTGCAAAAAACAACAACAAACAAAACAAACAAACGAATAAAACAAAAGAAGAAAAAGGAAATCAAGAGCTGCATTTCTCGCTGCACAGTGACCGTCTCCACACACTTCCATGACCAGTGTCAACAGACAGCACCAGGGGCCGGGTGTTGGTGGCGCACGCCTTTAATCCCAGCACTTGGGAGGCAGAGACAGGCGGATCTCTGTGAGTTCGAGGCCAGCCTGGTCTATAAGAGCTAGTTCCAGGACAGCCTCCAAAGCCACAGAGAAACCCTGTCTCTCAGCACCCATACTTAGGCTCACAACTGTCTGTAACTCCAGTTCCAGGGGACCCAACACCCCCTTCTGGCTGCCCTGGTACCAAGCATGCAAAAAGTACAGACAATATATGCAGACAAAAAACTCATACACATAAAATAAAAATGCACCTATGAAAGTCAGTTGAAGCCGACTGTGGTGGGCATTCCTGTAATCCCAGCACTTGAGAAGCAGAGGCAGGAAAACCAAGACTTGCAGGTAATTCTTGGCTAGAGTGAAAAAACTTTCAGTTGAGGATTCTGTCTGGCTGCTTGTGACACACTCCTGTGAGAGCTGCGAGACGCCAACGCCTGGCCTCCAGCACAGACACAGGCCGCCTATCTGGTAAGAAGGGCAGGACTGCTCTCCAGAAGCAGAGGGCCCCAGGCCACCAGCAGCCCTGCTCTCTGTACTAACAAAAGTCAGTGGTGCGGTCAAGAGGCAGGCTCCCCCTGGCCATCGTAGAAGAAAGAAGGGTTAGCATCCAGGCTGAACACTTACTAGTTTGATCTCTGGGCTTTAAGTGACAAGAACTTAACATCACACACTACTGTCGATAAGAAACTCTCTCCATCCTCAACAGGTCTTTTATAATCACCCTCAGCATTATTCCCCCTCTAGTGCTGAGTGTGCTTTAATATGCAACAACAATGGCGTGTGTATGAGCACACAATGACAGAGCAATATGACTGACGCACAAGAAACAATAAGCAACAAGGCTTTTGGGCCACACAACTGAGCAGTCCTCGTGGAAATGGAGGAAATTTCAGGGAAATACCCAGAGTAGCTAGAGAAGGATGGATGGACACACAGAACTGAAACCAGGGTTAAGACACACATGGGCAGGAGAGGACATCCCAGTCAAAAGAGAAAGGACAGACTCATGAGGGTAAGAACCTGCCAGGCGAGTCCAAAGGGTCCCGCCCTGACTGGATGGCAACGGGAAGAAATGCGGAAGGAGCAGGTGTGCCTGTGTGACGAGAAACTCAGGACTCAGGACAGGGAATTAAGGGAGTTCCCCAGTTCAAGAGCAGAGGTAAACCGGGTGATGCTGGGGCATACATTTACTCCTTGAGTTCAAGGCCAGCCTGGTCTACGAAGCGAGTCCAGGACAGCCAGGGCTACAGAGAAACCCTGTCTCAAAAAACAAAACAAACAAACAAAAATAGAGTAGGAGGTAAAAGAACTGAAGAGTACAGACTAAGTAAGTCAGGATATGTTGATTTTGGTTTTAAAATAAAAAGGGAAAGTTTTAAAACAAGTAAAAAGACTTCAAACAATTTATTCAACAGTGATGCCTAAGAGAGTGTGATGGGGGAGGTATTTTACTTTAGTCATACTTTAGTTGTCTTGGTAAACAGATATTTTCTGTATTAAATAAAGACAAAGAATTTCAAGGGGCTGGAGAGATGGCTCAGAGATTAAGAGCACTGACTGTTCTTCCAGAGGTCCTGAGTTCAATTCCAGCAACCACATGGTGGCTCACAACCATCCCTAATGAGATCTGGTGACATCTTCTGATGTGTAGATGTACATGGAGACAGGATGCTGTATTCATAATACACAAATAAATCTTTTGAAAAAAAAAAGAATTTCAAGAAATAGTAGTCATCAGTATTTCACAAGTGGTCAAGGGCAGGAAACAAGAGTCCCCTATACACAAAGAAATGAATTCGATCAAAGGCTCCTCACTGTTTTTTCGATAAACACACTATTAACAGGAAAAACTTATACTAGAAACTGTTAGTGAGCACTGCACACAGCGCTGATGCAGTCAGATCTCTGAGTGTGTCTACCTGGACATGACGGGGAAATCGAGCATTTAGAGCGGGGATCATCTGGAGAGCAGTTTGCCATCTGAGTTTACAGATGAACCTGAGCTAGTCCTACGAGGTATGAAAGTTTGTCCCCTTAGACATCTGAAAAACTGCCTGGCATTAGTTAGAAGGCATCATCCTCTATAAAATTACATGTACTTAGAGAAGAGCACACTATTAAAAACAGATTTAAGAAGCTGGAAAGATGGCTCAGGGGTTAAGAGCACTTACTGCTCTTGCTAAGGATCTGAGTTCAGTTCCCAGCACCCATGCAGGGTGGTCTACAATCACCTGCAACCCCAGTCTCAGGGGATCTGACATCTCTGGCCTCTGCAGGCATCTTCACTCAAATGTGCACAGCTTCACAAAAGACAAAAAGACACACACGAGAGTAAAAAGTAACAAAATAGGAACATAAGGGCAAATCTACAAATAGAAAAAAACAAAAATCCAGTCAGTTGCATAAAATTTAAGATTCTAGCCCAGCAGTGGTGGTACACATTTTTAGTCCTAGCACTAAGGAGGCAGAGGCGGTCAGACCTCTGTGAGTTCGAGGTCAGCATGGACTACAGAGCTAGTACCATGTCAGCTTATACAAAGAAACCTTATCTCAGAAAAAAGAAGATCCCGGTAGCTCCTGACAACAATGTTAAACCACTCACTCGTGCTCAGCTCTGGAAAGGTATGAGATCCTGAGACCGGCCGTCACATTTCTGGCAAGCCTCCGACAAAGCACAGGTCAGATCTCAGTGAAGCACAGCAGCACAATCCCCAGAGTAGACAAGCTCTGCCTTTATCCTCATCTCCCGGGCTGGCAGCTTCACCCTGGGCCCCCTGCAAGTCCAGAGCAGCCTGGGAGATCTATGGATAGAAAGAACCTAGAGATGACCCGGCCCCACCTCCCAGGGCTCTGATGGAGAATCCCCCAAGCCCCATGTTTCACAGCAGGCTTCTTTTCTCTTCCGAATCTGAGAATCTATTAAGATTTATGGACCCAGAATAACAAATCACACACATACATTTCTCAGGGTTTGGAGGGTAACAACTGTGCCTCCTCTTCTGATTCCGGTGTCTCCACACCCTGTGTTCTTATCAGAGCTCTGCAATTCTATAGACTTTAAATGGACTAAAGAGGCTGAGAGTGACAGAGCATAAGGTGAAGAAAGTCTTGCCTACAGCTCTCATCTATAACTTTCTGGAGACTTTTTGAATAACCGTAGTATATTTTTATTGTTACCAGGTAAGACATTATTAAAACAGAAAAAGCAGAAACAAACAGGCAACCATGAAAATGAAAGTCTGTTTCAAAATTCCGTGTTAAAGAAAGCATGCCTGTGGTGGTGGCGCTCGCCTTTAATCCCAGCACTTGGGAAGCAGAGGCAGGCGGATCTCTGTGAGTTCGAGACCAGCCTGGTCTACAGAGTAAGTTCCAGGACAGCCTCCAAAGCCACAGAGAAACCCTGTCTCAAAAAACCATAAAAGAAAGAAAGAAAGGAAGGAAGGAAGGAAGGAAGGAAGGAAGGAAGGAAGCAAGCATGCCTGTAACATTACAAGTGTCCCGTAACAAGTGAATTTCATAGAGACAGTGTTTTGTTCTAGTCCCCTTTCTCCTTAGGAATGAAGGCAAACACACACAACAGCTAACAACCTTTCCAAGGCAAACTGACCATTTTGGTCCAACTGTAAAGCACAAGCGAAACTTCTGGTCGGTTCTCTTCTGAAGACAAAGAACTAAGGCCTGCCGAGTTATAATAAAGCGAGGGGAACTTTCACTTTGGCTTTAGCATTTCTTATTAGAAAGAAAAATAAAACCAACTGCAAATAAGAGATTTAATGAGTAGCAGCCCAATAGTGATGGTTTCCTTGGAGTAGCAAGAACTCTTCGGTTGTATGGCAATCTCTCTCTGTTCAAAAAGTCCTGTTAGAAACAGTGTTTTCCTGCAGGGAAGCAGAGCCACGTGTCTAGGAAACACGTGAGGACTAGGTAGAGAAGAGCAAAAGAGGGCGGATCTGGATCTGTGGGTACAGCTCAGCTGGCAGAGTGCTTGCCTAGCGCACAAGGCTCTGGGTCTGCATGGGCACCAGATAAACTGCATGGTGGAGCACCCCATTAATCCCAGCGCTGGGGGAAGATCCATCAGAAGCTCGTCACCCTCTACAGCACAGTAACGAGTTGGAAGCTAATCTGGACCACAGAGACCCTGTGAAGAAAGAGCTGGAGTGGAAAGAGGGAGGGAGCACGGAGAGAGGGAGGAGGAGGAAGACAGGGAGGAGGGGAAAGGGGGGGAGATGGAGTGGGGGGAGGGAGGAGGGGAAGGGGGGAGAGGGAGTGGGGGGAGGGAAAAGGGAAAAGGGGGGAGAGGGAGTGGGGGGAGGGAGAAGGGGAAAGGGGAGAGAGGGAGTGGGGGGAGGAAGAAGGGGAAGGGGGAGGGAGAAGGGAAAAGGGGGGAGAGGGAGTGAGGGGAGGGAGAAAGGGGCAAAGGGGGAAGGGATGGGAGGGAGGGGGCAAACCACTGTAAAAGGAACGGTTTCTGTAAAGGAGCGATGACAGGAGGGAACCCCGGGGCCTAAGAACCTAAAAGTGCCCACTGTGGCCATGCCAAGAGGGTGTGGAGGGGCACACAGGACCAGATCGCCTACGGCTGCACACACCACTTTATCTAACTTGTCTCCAAATGATTTCTTCATCCCCAGCTTCCTCTAGCAACGAAGAGCAGCGCCAGCTTCCTAACTGCTTTTTTTCTACTCCAGGAAAGTAGGTCAGCTGAGTTCCAAGAATGCTAAGTTCTGGTTATCAGAGTTTTAGGAATTTTAAAATCTTCCCAAGGAGACCCATGGGCTGCTTTTACAAAAATATTTTTAAAAAGGTTCACAAAACAAAGCAAGAACCATAAACATTCTAAACAGTCTGGTTTTCCCTAAAATTGTCTTCTTGGAAAAAAGTAATATCCGTTGGCAGCTGAGACGCAACACGAGTATCAATTAGATCATAATTTAAATATCAAAAGTGTCTATGTTTTCACGCCCAAACTTATGGTACCTAATTGCCAAAAATAGAGAGTCAGGCCGTGATCTAGTCCTCTCACCCGCACACACGAACTTGAAAGATGCCCTTCGGCTCTACTTCGAACCCACCGCGCAAGTTAAACCCATACCCAAATTGTCAGACAAGTTAAACTGCGCTTGCACCCGGAAAACCGCAAAAGCCAGAAAAGATAAACAGAAAGCACTTCGTTGTCTAGAACACAAGCATTCAGGGCGATAATCAAAGACTGTTAGCCGAGGGAAGGGAAGGAAAAGAGCTTTCGGTGGCTCAGGGAGAGATAGATGGACTGCGGCGGGGCCACGGGAAGGAGGCGGACGGCAACGCCCCCTTCCCTAGTGGGCAGGGAAGGAACTGGGGTGTGGAAACGGCTGCTTCCCGAACGAGAAGGCCGAGCAGCAGCCTCCCCAGTCCACAGGCCCCCGCCCTGGCCCCGGCCCTGACCCGACCCCCGACCCGGCTCCCGCTCGTCCTCCGCCGCCGTTGGCCTCACCAGCTGCAAGACTTTGAGGACGCGCCGAGACCAGGGGAGCCGGCCCAGGAAGAAGTAGGCGGCCAGGCCGCTGCGCGCGCCCCTGCCGGCGCCCGGGGCCGCCTCGGTGGTGGGACTGTACACCGCTCCGTTGTCCATCGCCGGCTAAAAGTCGCTCGCTCGCTCGCCTAGCCAAAGTCTCCGCGGCGCAGCAGGGGGCGTCACTTCCTGGGGCTCCGCCCCCGCTTCCGGTCAACTCCGCCCTCCTCACGCCCTCGCCACGCCCCAGCCCAAGACAGCCCCTTCGTTCGCCACGCCCCTCGCATCCTTCCCGTCCTTGCCACGCCTCCTCGCTTCGCTGAGCCTCATGTTGGCCACGCCCCCCTCCACCTTTGCGGCTCGCTTGTCAACTCTTGAAGTAATTGACAGAGTTCCATGATTTCTGTGGACTTCTGTTTTGGTTTGTGTTGGTTTGGGGGTGGTTTTTTATTACATTTATTTTTTAATCTACCTGTCTAGGGAGGGGCACCGTGTAGAGGTCAGAAGACTATTCAAGGAGTCAGTTCTCCTATCCCTTCGTGTGGGTCTGAGGACTGAATCATCTTTAGGAGTGGCGGCTGGTGTCTTTACCTACTGAGCCACCTCCCCGCCCGCCCGGACTTTTAGTTTGGTTTTGTCTGTCTGATTTTTTTTTTTAATTTGGAAACAAGATCTCACCCGCCCAGACTAACCGAGAACTCAGTTGCAGCACCTGGAACTTGTGCTAATCCTCCAGACTTGATCTCTGAAGTGCTGGGATCACAGGAATGCTCCCCTCCATGCCCAAGCTGTTTTGCTCTTAAAAGGTGCCAGGGATCGAACTCAGGGCCTCCGGCATGCTAAAACCCAACACCCCTGTTGAGCTGCACCCCCAGACTCCTCCCATGGAGTTTTATTTCTCACTCCCTGCTGTTGGGGGACGCTGGTGCACTGTGTGAAGATGTATTTGCTGGGATGGTTGAAATGGAAAGCAGACCGCCCAATAGCTAGACAGGGGGTGTGGGTGGGATCCCCAGGGAGAGGAAGAAGAGGAGAATCGAGGTGCACAGGAGATGCAGGAGACATGGAGGAAGCAGGATGGGCAGCAAATGACAGAATGAAGATGAATAGGAATGGGTTAATTTAAGTTATAAGAGCTAGTTAAAAACAAGCCTAAGCTAAGGTCAAACTTTCATAACTAATCAGAAGTCTCCCTGTCATTATTTGGGAGCTGGCTGTCGGGGCAGAGGACTCATTACATCCCATTATGGTCCACTTTTCAGACCGTCATCTTTCCATTCATGGGGGGTGGTGCACATGTGTATGAAGGTGTAGGCTCACGTGTGTGCAAGTGTGGAGATCAGAAGTCACACACCACTAATCCCAGTGCCCTGGAGGTGGAGGCAGGAGGACCAGAAGTTCAAGGTTACCTTTGGCTACGCAGTAACAGAGTTTGAGGCTAGTGTGAACTACATGAGACTTGGTCTCAAAAAGAAAAAAATCAATGTAGCCCAGCAAGATGACTCAGCCAGTAAAGGTGCTTACCTCACAAGCCAGTGGACCTGAGTTGGATCCTTGGAACTCACGGTGGAAGGAGAGAAATGACTTCTGAAAGTTGTCCTCTGTCCTCTGTTGTAGTATAATCTTTTTGTACACTGTGAAAATGTGTCACCCTGATTGGCTTAATAAGAATTGGGAGTCAGGTGGTGACGGTGCACGACTTTAATCCCAACACTTGGGAGGCAGAGGCAGGTGGATTTCTGAATTCTAGGCCAGCCTGGTCTACAAGATCAAGTTCCAGGTCAGGCTCCAAGAGAAACCTTGTTCAAAAAAAAAAAAAAAGAACTAAGTGTCCAATAGCTAGGCAGGATTTCCGGGCAGAGAGGATGCAGGGAAGAGGGTGGCAGAGATGCCAGGAGACACAGCACAAGCAGGATGGCACTACAGAGATGAGGTAATAAAGCCAGGAGGTAGGAAGCAAATTAATAGGTTAATTTAAATTATAAGAGCTAGTTGGAAACAAGCCTAAGCTGTCGGCCAAGCTTTCGTATTAAAAATAAGTCTCTGTGTCATTACGGGGGAGCCGACAGTCCTGATGAAAAGGTTACACAACAGTCCTCCATGTACACACACACACACACACACACACACACACACACACACACACACCAATAAGAATACATTTTCATTGTAAAAGTTCGATGTTTTAATTCCTGATGGGTTTACAGAGCCCCTGCACTGGTGATACAGTGAAGAACACGCACCTGCACAGGAAAGCGTCCCCTCATAACTGGGGGGTGGGGAGAGCGCCTCTGAGTGCCACTCTGAGTACCCCTCATAACTGGGGGGTGGGGAGAGCGCCTCTGAGTGCCACTCTGAGTACCCCTCATAACTGGGGGTGGGGAGAGCGCCTCTGAGTGCCACTGTATTTGTGTTGAAGAAGATCCAGCAAACGGCGAGGCCCTCAGATTTACACTTCAGAGCGGGACATAACCAAAGAGCAGCCAGGCAAATACACAGAACAATAAATACATAAACGTTTAAAGGAGTTTGGGAAGAACACAAAAAACAGAGTGAGGAAAGGCAAAGGACTCTGGGGTTTAATTCCATAGAGTGGATGAAGGAGCCCTTTAAATGGATCAGACATCCGAATGGAGCCTAACTCCAGCTACATTCCCAATCTGCGTGTTCCATTTCCACCAGCAGAGGGCGGTAAAAGGCAAAGGAATGCTAAGGAGGCCTTGGGGCTGGTGTGTTCATCGCTATGCAGGGTGAAAGCCAGAGGGTGGTTTGGGGGGAAGAAAAAGCTGAGGGGTCCGTCGCCTCCTGTGAGAACTTTAGCGCAAAGCAGTTTGATCACGCTGGGGCGGGGAAAGAGGTGTAAACCTCTACTCAACCTGGGGCTGGACAGGGTGGGATCCAGTCTGGAGTCTGGACTAGAGGGAGTTTGGGCACTATTTCGTCACTATTAACAGGACGCCTTGTCTCGCACAACCTCCACCCCAGGTAGCTAGAAATCCGTCGTAGGGTGGTTTGCTAGTTTTCTTTCTTTCCCTGCTGGTTGCATTTCAGTTCTTAGGGGACAGAAAGGAGGTTCAATGGTTAAGAGCACTGTCGCCTCTCCCCAGAGGGTCCAGGTTCTCATCTCAGTACCCACGTGGTGGTTCACACTCGTAATTCCGGTTCTGGGGGTTCTGATGCCCTGTCCTCGGGCCTGTGAGGACACCAGGCACACAGTGGTGCACAGATTCATGCAGGCTGAACACCCACACACATTAAATAAATTCATAAGAAAAAATTCAGGTCATGAAAATGTGAAAGGTTAAGAGGTGAAAATAACCAGGTGTAGGGGCACGCCTTTAATCCCAGTCTTGGGAGGCAGAGACAGGTTGGTCTCGGTGAGTTTGAGGCCAGCCTGGGTCTAACAAGTCCCATGACACACAAGGCTGTTACACAGAGAAATGCTGTCTCTGAATGAATGAATGAATGAATGAATGAATGAAGTGTAAACGAGGCCAGGGGATGGCTCCGCAGGTAAAGGTGTCTGTTGTACAAACCTGGCCAAGGGAGTTCAGATCCCCAGCGCCCACACACAAGCTGGAAAGATGCGGTAGTGCTTGCATCTGAACTACCTACCGACTGCTACGGGAAGGGGGGAGGCGCAGACAGACAAGCCACAAACTCACGGCCCCGCCAAAGCGGTGGACAGGGCGACCCTGTCTGCAGCCAAACGGAAGGTGAAGACCCATGCCTGAGGCTGGCGCAACTCTGCCCTCTACATGAATGCTGTAGTGTACACACACACACACACACACACACCGTACATAAGCATCCTACTGCAAACCACTCATATAGCAAGTGAAAAAGCAAGGCCAGGTGTGGAGTATGCCTGTAACCCCAGCACTCTAGAGGTAGAGGCAGGAGAATCCCAAGTTCAGAGTCACCCTCAGCTCCACAGTGAGTTCCAGGCCAGCCTGGGGTGCATGAAACCATTTCAAAACAGAAAAACCAAAGCAACACTGGCTAGGTGGTGGTGCATTCCTTTAGTCCTAGCAGTCTGGAAGCAGAGACAGGCAGATCTCTGTTTGAGGCCAGCCTGGTTTACATGAGACCCTGTCTGACATGCACTACCCCCACAAAAGGAAGCATCTCCAACAATGAAAAATGTGAGTCTAAATCCTTTCTGCTGCATTCCTGCCTGCCCAGCCTCTTCCACAGATGGTCAAATTTGTTAGTTTCTGGTTATCTTCCTTGTATTTCTTTTTTTAGTTGTGTATATATGTACGTTTATGTGAACCATGTGCATGCAAGTACCTATAGAGGCCAGTAGAGGGCAGGAACTGGAGTTATGGGCGGTTGTGAACTGCCCAGTGTGGGTTTTGGGAACCAAACTGAGGTCCTCTGTAAGAACAGTAGACACTCATAACCACTGAAGTCTCTCTCCAGACACCTTTCTTGTGTTCCTCTAATAGAAAGAGGCAGATTCAGAAATGTGTGTTCATTGGCGTGAGTACACACGTGGGCTGAGAAGTGCATCAGAAGCTTTGGTGCTGGTTACATATGGTCATTTTGTGATATTTCAAATCATAATTGTGGCATACACTTTTCTGTTTATTTGCACACTTCAACAATCTGCTGAAAAAAAACAATGAAGTTAGCTGAGCGTGGTAGCCCGTGTCTGTAAACCCAGCACATGGGAGGCAGAGGTAGGAGGATCAGATGTTGTTCATGGTCATTCTTTGCTCCTAGCAAGTTGTAGAGAACAGTCAGGGCTACGTGCAACCTTGTCCCTTGTCTCAACAACAAAACCCAAAGCCAGAAACAACCCAGTTTTAAAGCATAATTCCAGGGCCAAGGAGACAGCTCTACAGATAAAAGCATTTGCCAGGCTGGGTGTTGGTGGCACATGCCTTTAATCCCAGCACTTGGGAGGCAGAGGCAGGCAGATCTCTGTGAGCTCGAGGTCAGCCTGGTCTACAGAGCTAGTTCCAGGACAGCCCTCCAAAACAATACAGAGAAACCCTGTCTCAAACACACACACACACACACACACACACACACACACACACACACACACATACACACACACACACACAAGCATTTGCCAAGCCAGTCTGACTTGGATCCCCAGATCCTCCAGCACAAGAGAGCCAAATCCTGAAAGCTGTCCTCTGGCCTCCACACATGCTGAACCCCTCACATACAT